TGCACATTTGTTCCTGGTAGTCCATACAAAATGTAAACCACGGACAAGTGAGATTCGCTAAAACGTCGAAATTTCCGTACTCGGCTGCTAATGGCGCCTCGTAGCAGAGCTTCCAACTTATTAGCGAAAACTATCTTACTCGTTATTGGTAAACAGTACAGGCTGATTCAAATTCGAGGGCCTTTAGGGAATTTTGGGAAATATAAATATCACTATTTTTTAATTAGAAATTGCGCTAATAATTCGTAAAAACGCAAGAAACTACGAACATACACTACGGAAGACAAAGTTTGCCAGACAAAAAAAGAAAATATTTTAACAATATTTAAAAAATAGTGATGTTTACATTTTTGAAATCAGAAAAAATGCTCTCTCAAATGACACAAAAAGTAAAAATGATTTCCATAAGAAAAAACGAAGTTGATGATGGTTAACCGGAGACGAAACGTCAGACTTAAAATTTAAAACTAACATCTTGTAGAGGGAAAAAAGTAGCCAAAATACCTTTTTAAAAAACTTCAGTAAAAAATAAAAACGATTTTGCACAAATTCGTTTTTTTAGGATACCTCCGAAAGTAGCCTGAATTTTTTCAGTTTCAAAACTGCATTTTGTTAAGCATCAAAATACGAAACTTCGCCAAATTTAAACTACGTACCTATCTCGTACAGTTTCCGACATCCCCATTGTGGCCCTCGAATTTGAATCGGTATGTATACTATTTTTAGTTTCTTCATAACCTTCGAACCATTCGAATACTTCAATTATTTGGAATTCATACATTTTCCTGTTAGTAGTCCTCAGGCTGTATAATATTTTTTTACAAAAAAAATTATTTACCGGTTCAAATCGGGTTTTTCATGCGGGTGAAATGATTAGAAATTGGGGAAAAATAATGAAAACTGCTGAATTTTTCCGCGGGTGAAATCACGGGGGTTGAAAAGGGTGGAAACTGGTATTTTGCAATTTGTGGCAAAACTATTAATTCTAGGCGAAAATGTTTGATATAAAAGTTATAAAGAATTAGAAAATGAACAACTTTTGTATCTTCACTATTTACACATATCTCCAATTTTCCTAGAAAAACCGGAAAAACCTTTTTTTTCGATTTTTATTTTTATTTTTGCGAAAAAAAGTCGTAGGGGTTTGAAATTTGGAGTAAACATACCTTGTTTTATCATAAAAAAGAAGATAAGATCCCACGATTTCTGAAAAAACCACCTCTTTGTGAAGGGGAAGAAAAATCTATATTTTTTCATCGTACAGAGGTGCACGGGGTAGCAAAATTTTTGGGAAGATTTGTATTTCAATAAACAAAAATAAAAAAATATGATTCCTATAGCAAAAATTTGAGAAAATTACCAAAAACTGGAAAACAGTTTTTAGATATACACGGTTTTTTACAAGATAAATCAACGTGTTGGATGTTAATAACGATTTTTTCGAAATCTGTCTTCTTGTTTCACTTTAATGTTTGCTTAAAAATTATCTTTTGTTATCTTATGCTCAACTGTTTTAGTTAAAACATTTTTATTATTTCTTTTTTCTGCATTTTTACCGCAATAAAAGCATCAATTCGAAATAAAATCGAATTATCTTGCTTCCTGATTCCTGAACAATTTCTTTTTGTTTACTGACCTTCTTCTGGCTTGTTTTATAGCTGATGTAATTGCGTTGGGCCTATTGATAAACTGAAAATCTGCAATAAGAACGTTAGTTTTACCGGTCAAAGCAAATGATTTGGGATGTAAAACCTGGAATAAACTTTATGAGGATTTTATTTATAATTCCTGTAAATTAACGATCAACAGGCCAAGCGTAATCGCATCAGCTGTAAAACAGCCAGGAAGAAGAGTAAGTGAACAAAAACAAATTGTTCAGGAGGCAAAAGAATTCGATATTATTTCGAATTGCTTTTATTGCGGTAAAAATGCAGAAAAAAGAAATAATAAAGATGTTTTAATTAAGGCAGTTGGGCACTAGGAAACAAAAGAAAATTTTTAGCAACTTTAAAGAGGAGAGAGGACAGATGGCCAAAAACTTTTTATTAGCGCGGATCCAATACATTAATTTAGTTGCAAAAAAAGCTATTTACCTACGACTATGTCAAAAACAGTGTACCTACCTATATCTTAAAACTGTTCCCCCAGTCTTTGCCGCTTTTCTTAAAATTTTTCTATTGGCATAATATTTTTTTATTTTTGATTATTAAAATGTAAGCCCTTACAAAAATTTGCTACCCCTCGCAACTCTGTACGATGGAAAAAAAACAGATTTTTCATCCCCTTGAAGAGGTGGTTTTTTTCAGAAATCGTGAGATCTTGGAAACAGTTCAACTTTACGAGCCCAAAAAATTATTTCCTTTTTTATCATAAAACAAGCTATGTTTCCTCCAAATTTCCAACTCCTACGATTTTTTTTCGCAAAAATAAGAATAAAAAACGAAAAAAACAGTTTTCCGGTTTTTCTAGGAAAGTTGGAGGTTGTGCAGATAATTGCTCATTTTTTTAATCTCTGTAACTTTTATATTGAACATTTTCGTCTAAAATTAATAGTTTTGCCACAATTTGCAAAACATCACTTTCCACCTCTTTCAACCCTAGAGATTTCACTCGCGGAAAAATTCAGCTGTTCTAATTATCTTACCCAATTTCTAATCATTTCACCTGACTGAAATAATAATAATAATAATAAAGTTTATTTGAGATTTAAAAATAAAACAAAACAAAAATACAACAACAAAAAAGAAAAAGTAGCTCAAAAAAGGAATGAATTCGGCAATGCCGTTTTTCAATTCACCCTTTAAAAACCAAAAAGAGAAAAAAATCGCCTCACAAAACTAAATATTATTGCTTAGATTAACAGGGACGGTGCCATATAAGCGAAACAGCCTTGAAATTTTTTGGTATTGTGCCTTGGTATTGTGAAGGAATTAACCCTTAAATTTAAGTTATGCACGACAGACCTTCTAATTAGCAGTTGACATAAATACAGTGGTACTTTGCATTGTAACAATTTATATAAAAATAACGTGTATAGATATCTGACCCGACAATTAATTTTTTATTATACCTGAATCACAATCTCCGTTTTAAACACTCAAATGCGTGCGAAAAAGGGCCTTTAAAACACACGTGCTTTAAAGTTGCTAAGTAACGATACTTCAAGTATGACTTTTGAAACTGTCATCTGGATGAAATAAAAAATCCTCTTAGGTCGCTTTCTGTAAATGCAGAACATTTCTTTGGCTTTTGTACCTATCCTTTGGTTGAAGCTTTCACAAACGCGCGTAATTTAGGGTATGCTTCCAAATCTGTTCCACTTTTTAATCGCAGCATTGCTTTAAAGTTTTGAATGAATGCACCAAAATATAGAAGATTTAAATACCTTTGACATTTCCTTCATATATGCCAGCATTATGGATGCATTTAAGACTGTATTCGTAAGTAACTTCCCATTCATCCAGGAAACAACTTTTCATATTCTTTATAATAGGCTTTACTGGAGTTGGATTTTACACCTACCAACGTTTGTTTAGATTTTACAACAATCGATTTAATGGACGGTGTATTTTTTTTTTCAACGGAAATAGTTTAATTCACAAAGACGATGATTTTTATAAGCAAACGTCAAGTGACATTTCCATGGCAATCGTGAAATTACGAACACCCAGCCCACTTAATTAGACATGTATTCGAGTATAACGTCAATATGATTTCATTGTATTTCCTATTTTTAATTTATACTGCAGGTATAATAAAAAATACTATAAGATACACGTGTATAATTGGTCTTTAAAGCACTTGCAACGTTAAAGGCACTCCGCTTTGCGTCGTGCCCTTATACTCGTTGCGCGTGCTTTAAAGACTTGATTATACACTTGTATCTTAATATACTATTCAACTCGTTCAGTTTCTGGTAATACGGCGTAATATGCTCTCTAAACGGTACATTACAAATAAATCTTATGCACGAATTTTGAATTTTTTGCAATTTAGCTTGATCACTCTTTGTAAGAAAAAAATAGTACACCATACAGCAATAGTCAATATGAGGATAAATTATGGATTTAACTATCTTGTTTTTAACAGCTTCACTGAGCAGAAACTTCAAGTGATAAATTGACTTGAGCTTAAGAAACGACAGTCTGACTACGTTATTTACATGTTGACTAAAACTTAACCTAGTATCTAATGTAAGACCCAAATTTTTAACACTATTAGACCATGTAATGGAATCGTTCATAAGAGTTAATTGGAAACTACACACAATGTCTGACTTTCGTTCGGGACCGACACAAATAGCTGTAGATTTCATGGGATTTAATTTTAAGCCGTTCTTTTCACACCACGTTTGCATGTTGAGAAGATCTGAGTTTATAGCATCAATAATCTCTTCCACATTCGATTCATTACATTCCATGTATAGCTGTAGATCGTCAGCATAAAGATGATATTGAAGGTGTTGAAGACATGTAGCCGAGTCGTAAGTAAACACTGAAAAAAGTAAGGGACCGAGTACACTTCCTTGCGGAACACCCCTTTCAATATTCATATAACTTGACGATGCACATGAAAGTCTAACTCTTTGAACATGATCGTTCAGATAAGCTTGAAACCATGTTAAACTGCTATTGTCGAGACCTAGATGCCGCAATTTGGCTACAAGCAACTGATGGTTTACCAAATCGAATGCTCTGCTTTGGTCGAGTAGAATTAAAATGGTACATAGTGATTTATCATAACTATGTGAGATGTCAGTCATGAAAAACCCGGTTTCCCCGATAACTTTTGTTTTAAAGCTATTTAGCCTGGACTACTGGTCCTTTTTACTCTTCCGCGTTTATTTGGAAGATCGTACCAATCTTATAATTATTTTAAAACAAATGCACAAGTGCAGAAAGTTGTCCATAACTTACAGGGGATTGAAAACGTTGTTTCAGCCTTTCTAGGTCACTGTGGATGGATTAGGGCATTTCACAAAAAAAGTACTTATATATTGTTTATTTCAAATGAGCTTTGATAATATGTTCGACAAACCATTCAGGTGTAAATTGTAAATGTAGACCGGGACACGACAAAAAGTGCAGTTTACCTTCAGATCCTAACTTATCTAGTCCTAGGCGAGTCTGAAAAGCGCGGGATAAGTGCCGAAAAAAATACGGTACGACCACACTTACATATACTTTAGATTCCTGCAGAGATTCTGTTACGGTCCCCTGGCCGGGTTTATAGAATCCAAACCATTGAGATTCTATCGGTATCACCATTCCATCCTGTTCAAATTTGACCATGACGAATTTTTCTAAGGCCTGTAGATTATCAACGTAGGTTTGGTTGATGTGCAGTTCGTTATTAATATCGGCCATGAAGGTGTTTCTGTGCGCGTAATCAGTCGAGTTGAGGGCATCGTGCCAATAGGTCGCCTGCACTAAAAATTGGAAGCTCTCGTAGGCAAAGTGCGTGACTATCGGGCGAATGGCACCGCAGAATTCCAGAAAGTCGGGATTACAGAATGGAATTCCGTAAACGCCCTGCTGTTGACCACCGATCGAGATCAGGCCTTTCATTTTTGGAGTTGAGCATCTTTGACCTAATGCACGACTGCAAAAATGGGTCGATTAAATATTTGTATAGGTGCGAACGCAGAGCGGATTCTCACATAAACTGGGAACCTTGCGAAAATCCTATTCCGTAGTAGCCTTGGGCTAAGTTGGGATCAGATTGGATTAAGTTGCAGGCGTACTCGACCTGATCAGTTGGATGCATCAGGAAACCGTTGATTGTGTCCGTAATAATGTTACCTCCGATCATTAAGGACTTCACATATGTGCCCGGTATTTCATTTTCAATTAATTGTTTAACTCTGTTCATTCCAGGTCCATTGGCGTTGTCACCTACATAAATTAAGAAAATTGGGTCTTTCTCGACCAACAATAAGAGCACACTTACCCATGCCATGCCACAGAACAACAGGTATTGGCGCGGGTGTTGGGGTTGCAGAAATATTTGACAGAAGTAAAACAGCGAATATTGCCAAAGACTTCATCTCTTCTCGATGTGGCACCTCAACGATATGTAAAGCATAAAAGGAATGGTTTTTGCCTTAAATACTCCGTGAAGTGCCACTTAAAAATCATTCTGATATTTCGCACTCCAGTTAGGTGCACTCAAACTGATTTCAGCCTATCGATACACTGAGTTTTGTAGCTAACTAATTATCGATGATGAAGTAGGTTCAAGAAAAATATTTTTCTCTTATTGCTGATTTTAATAACGTTTCTAACCACAGAAAAGCTGCACTCACTTCAAATATTGCCAAATGAAAGAAATGATTCGGCAGGTGATACTAAGTGCATCGATCCTTCCAATTTGTGTGTAATGGCGCTGCTTATTGTGGACATTGCTGACATAAGTGATTTTGAATCGTCACTAATAATTTTAAGGATTAAGAAAATTTAGTACTTGTATATAGCGCATTATCTCCTTTGGCGTAACCCAAGGTTGAGAATCACATAGAAGCATTAAAATTAGAAGGTATGCAGGTCCCAAGTTATCTAAGGTTTGAGCACGATAAATCATGAACTGTGTTCTTGTCGTAACCATCAAGGTAATCGTCATAAAATTACATTTTTACTTAATATAATTGTCCTTTGAAGTCAGTAAGACTATTAACCAACTTTCTATAGCTGTAGGCCAAAGATGTGAACCAAATGTAAAGGTTTCTTTATTTTTTTTGAAGTGGTAGTAGTAGCCATCAAGAGCCATTTTTTCACCTTCTGTTAAATTTAATGGGCAGATCAAGATGCCTGTGAATATACCCAAAAAAGCAGTGAACCTTGAGAGTTTTATTATCTTTGATTATTCGATTGTCTCTTATTTTTGTCGCAGAAGATGAAACGGGAAATACCGGTAGAAAGCTTACTCTGAAGAGTAGCGAGGTTGTCTTGAGATAAAGTAATAGAACATATAAGATATGATATCAATTCTTTCAAATGCAGATTACTTTCGTTCAGTGTCAATTTTTTTGATTCAATATCTTTTACATTTCCTTTACCTTGGAATGGGAAACCACTGCTACTACAGGCGCATGTATCTTTTGCTTTGTTGCGGGCAGCAGACACTGTGTAAGTGGTTCAATTCGTTAGGGGGGGGGGTTAGAGAGTTTTGATCACACAATATGGTTCAATTCGATTGCTGTTGGAAACTCTCTAACTAAAGATATTTTTGACTATGTCTCTGGGTCAAAAACTTACGATTACTTTCATGCCGCCAGATGTACACTGTTGCTGCTTATTTGGTCCACCTTCTATGCTAGGTCTACGTTGACCTGAACTGCTGTTTTGACCCGAAGATGTGTTAACTCGTATCCCAATTCCCAAAAGTTTAGCCTTTAATGTCCTTTTTTAAATCTGAAAATCAGAATTTGTCGGTTTGGTTTGACTGCATACGAGTAGGTAAATACGAATTCCAAAATAAATAATTGAATTGACAGACTAAAATCGATCCAATTCCATTGTCCTTTACATTTTTCTGATTAAAGATATTGGTTTGGTTTATAAAAATACAAATAATTACGGCCCCTATCTTGTGACACGTATTAGTTGCAACTTTCTCTGGTACATTTTTTTACACAAAATATTTTGACAGACGTTGCCTCTACACAGAATTTGAATTCATTCAATGGAATATATTACTTAAATGAAATATGGGTTCTCATCTAATGAAAAATAACCAAATTCCTTTGTATGCATCCACTTATATTAATTAAATGCAATACAAATCTGATTCATGCAATTAATTTCCACGGTTCCTTTAAGAATTTTATAATTATTACGTCAAATGGTTATAGGTAACCGATTTATAGTTCATACAAAGAAGATAATTAAGTAACAGGGATATCTCTGTAAACGGTGGTTTCTTTAAGTTACGATTTGTACGATCCTCTCTTGAAAAAGAAAAATTGGAAACCGGATCGCTCTCGGGATGCTACAGCGGAATTCCCACCTCGGTACAAAGTTACCTCTTGTTGAATCGGAATTTTCAAGATAATGTAACTTGCGTAACTAAGTCGTTATAAGTCAACTATTGGCGAGTGGTCAGAATTGTTTAAATATAGTCGAGAATTACTGGATGATGATCGCCGTCTAGGGCGCCTTAGGATGTTCTCACTAACCGTTAGAGATAAGGCAAAAGTTATAAGAAACGAAAAGATGGTGTTTTTGAATCTTCTTCAACTTTTGTTAAAAAATATGTTTCGTATTTTCAAAGATTAAAAAGTATGGCCAAAATAGTCATTTTCAAAGATGGCGGCCGTAGCACAACATGCGCGAATGTTATATAGGATGCATTACGAATATCTTGAATTGTATTACTGGCTTCATAGTCGCAATGTAAATTTTTTGGGAAGTTTTCCTAGGAAATTGACTGAAGTTCAATTTGTCAGAATTGTCCCAGAAGTCTTCTTTCTTAGGAACCGTAAAAATCTTTTCAAAATACATCTTGCGAATCCTTTTACAAACATTTCTTGGGTCGCAGAAATCATGTAAACTTTACGTTCCTAAGAATCTTCATAGCCTTCCAGAGTTTTCATGAAAACCTTTTTTTTCGTAATTTTGTGAAGTATTATTACAAATTTTGGAATTCTTCATATGAATTTTACTAGAAGAACCGCGGAAATCTTCTTAGGAGTTTTTTTACATGACTTTTAGTTATAGGTAATAAACAAATTTTTGAATTCTTTTTAGTGATTCCCGAAACATTAACTCATTTAGGGATCCTTCCATAAATCTTCTTGAAAAATATCTTATTCTTACTGAAATATGCTTTACGAATCTTATTAAAACAGGTTTAAGGATTTCATTGGGAAATTTCTTATATGGAATTTTTTTTAAACGTTTCGCAGTTTATATAATCTACGAATTCCTTTCTGCCAAATCTTTTTAGCGCATTTTTGATTCTCAAAAAGGAGCTTATAGTTTCACTAATTGTCTGTTGTTCGGTTGTGGATAAAAATGCTCATGCACATTAGTCTTTTTACCACCCGCACGTTAGTAAGGGAGATATTGCATTGCCTGGGGTAAAAAATGGGTATGGAAGTTGCAGATGTATCTGGCTTGAAGATCAAACATCTGCAATAACATCCAATCCAGAGTCCTGCTTCAACTCAATTCTATTAGTTTGAGCCGTAAGGTTTTCAATAGTTTCTAAATCTTTTTCTTGAATTGTATTACAGTTACTTTTAGTCAAAAAACAGACGAGACTTTTGGTACGCATCTCACCAGCAGTTTTAATTTTTGTCGTCGGTGTGGTAATTACTACACACAAGCGACCATAAGTTAATTGAAAATTGGGAAATATAATTAGTGCTTGCCTACTTGCAGTACCTGTTACAGTAGATAAAAACAACAACAAAACACTCTAACGTTGTCGTTAATTGAAGTTCAATCACATACTGCAAAAATATACCTACAATCGTAGGTAGAACTAGAGAGGACCTTATGTTTAAAGTGGTTACAAGTGTAAACTACTCTAAAATGTTATCTACAATATTAGATTATTATACTCTATATAATATTTATCTAAAATTTTGTTTCTATGTAGGTAAAGCCTAACGCAGTCTAATATGATATGCATATGATGCACGTAGCACATTCGTTCGAAGTTTTTAAACTTGTAGTTGAAATGGAAACTTTCGTAGCCATAATTAACTATTATGAATTGAAATACTATTATTTTAAAATGGCGCCGCTTCCTTAAATACGGTTTTTTTTAAATTAGAAATACACCATTTTCTATTTTTTTCTAAATGCGCCATTTTATTCTGAATGCAAGGCACTTAAAATTTGCGTACCTAATTGTCATAGTTTTTAACTTTTTCTCTAAAAATTTGGAGATGCAACGATATCCATGAAAAAATTCACCGTTTAAGATAAGTGAGTGCTCTTCTTGATAACTAAATCCTTAAAGTCGAAGGAATTTTTGATCTGAACGCTGAAAGTCTTGAAAAGGTTTCTAGAGCGGTTGTGATTTTTTAAAATTAGCAATCAAAACAATTCAATTTTTTAAATTGCAACTACTATTTTGTATGCCAGAAATGAATGTAGACTTGAATTTTAGGTCCACTATTAACATTCTGTATGCATATATCCGGTAGGTAGTTTTTGAGTTATTGGCGTTTTTTTGAAAGAAATTTTCTTATTTTTTAGCCTCGAAATTCAAATTTACATTCATTTCTGGCACCAGAAATAGTAGTTGCAATTTGAAAAGCCAACGTTTTTGACATTTTTTATTGTTAATTTTGCAAAATCGCAGCGGCCCTGGAATCTTTTTGAAGACTTTCTGCGGTCACTCCAAAAATGTCTAATACTTTAAGGGTTCTACTATAAAAAAGAGCACTCATTTTTCTTGAACGCTTTAACAAATATGAATTTTTGAATGAACCCTTGCGTCCCCAAATTTTCAGACAAAAATTCACGTATGTCAAAATACAGGATGCGCAAATGCAAATTTTAAATGCGTTGAATTGAGAGTAAATTGGAGTACTTATGTAGAATAAAATAAAAAAACAAGATGGCGCTAACGTTCTGTATTTACAGAAGCACCGCCATCTTGAAATTCTTTATTTCAATTCGCAATGGTCGATTATGACTAAAAACCAAATTTCAAGTTTCTATTTCATCTGTTAAAAACCCCTAACGAACGGGCTATGTGAATCTCCCTGTATATCTATGGTTTAAAAAGGCAAACAGAGTTCGTCCATGTCATATTTAAATGATATGTTGAGTAGCTTGATGACCTTTTTTAAGGTTTTGCTCGAACATGTAAATTGATTTTTTCAAAATGAAGAAAGATGAAGTTAGCCAGATATGGTTAAATAGAGCAATAACATCCTTTTTATGTAGTGTTCACTTAAACATAGAGGAGGCGGTTTAATGATGAAAATTAATCACAAGGGCAATCTTTACTGCAAGGCTTGTATGAATTTTGTGGTAGGTAGTTAGTTCTGTTGTTCAACAATTCTTTTGATTTGTATATGTGGATCTCACCCAAAGTACATGACGTAGCTCCAATTACACCTTTATTTTTTGAATGCCAGATACCTTTCCGTTTATAAAACTGTACCTACCTTTTGCCGAAGAGTGCAGTTAATCGGAAATTTGAACAAAAAGTTCCCTGTAGTGATGGGTATTGAACAACAAAACATATCCGCCCTTTTGTCCTCGTCTTCTTGGGCTGCATTTCAGTGGAAGCTGCTATATTTGTATTGTTTCTGGTAAAAGTTATAGTAATGGCTTCTGTCCGTGTCTTCAGATACCTACTTTTTATTCGAAACCACTATTGATATGAAATTTGGTTAGACTTTCGAGTGGAAACTGCTATTGAAATGAAATCTTATTGGACAATAAAGAGAACTAAGAAAATACGCCTTCACAATCTTTTACATTGCAGAAAAAACTTGTTTTACTGTGGTTTTGTTTACGTTAAGTATGTTTTCATTTGTGGAACTATCGGAGTAGATAAATCTATAACATGTAGTAACAAACATAGAAAAGGTTGTGCAAAGTACAATAATTATCTTAAGAGTCGACAAAAATAAGTAGGTACCCTCTGTAGCTCTGGAACACCTACCTACTTTCTGCATACCTCTCGTAGACAGTTCTTCACAATGGAAGGATTATATCGTTTTCAGATAATGTATTATTAGAAGAATCTTGAAATTAATCTAAATCTAAAATTGATTTTTCCAGATCAGTACTTGAACGTAATTTTTCATGACTACAATCGTTTAAATTAAGGGTCGATAACATGGCCAACGTATCCATGTTGTCATAATCGGGCTCGTGATGGGCGGTTTCAATGTCGGATAGCAGTGGGGTTTCGGGATCTTTCTGGATCATCTCCTCGGAAAACTTGGGAAGATCGCCAATAAGAATATCTTCGTCCAGTTCGACACCGTTTTCTAGTTCCATGTCATCGTCATCGTGGTCCTGAAAAATGATTTAAGTACGTAGGCGTGAAGGGTTTCGGTGTTACCGCAGTAATTGGTGTAGTTGATTTGTACTGGAAGGCGCTATTGGAAAGGTCGACCTCGACTGGGAATAAGGGTGGGCCGCAGAGCAAGGCGAGTGTGTTGGTGTGCAGTTCGGCGAGCCCCTTCACCAGCTTGGTGAGATGCCCTCCGAGAGACTGTACGTGTTTGTTCTCCAGCAACTCCATCTTAACCAAAACGTCGGCCCTGAGTTTAGCAAATCGAGCACGCGCGACTTGGCGGCAACGCAAAATTAGCCTACAATCCCAGAGGGTTTAGTGCTGAAAATATGGGGAGAGGACTGTACCTGTACTCGTAGTTGCCAGTTTCGACTCGGTACAGCGGTTCTTGCAAGGCGGCGTAGCTGCATTCTTCATCGTCCATTTCTTTAACCTTCAAGCAGTAGGCTAAGTACTCAAATTTCGCGTCGGCGTATTTCTTCACAGTCAGTCGCGTGTCGGGTATTGCCTTGTGAAGGTAAGTCCCTAGGTCTGACAGAACAGGTTTGACCTGCTTAATCATTTCGTGCCCTAACTTTTCCATGCTGCGGTGCTGTTCGCCGAACAGTCTGAACGCCTCGCTTGCACGCGGTTGCGGTTCCCTCACCGCCAAGCTTGAGAAGATATCGCCCATGGCTTTAATGGTTTGGTGTAGCTCAAAGTGGGCCTAGAAGTATGCGTGAGATTGTCTTCAGAATATAACGCGCTCACCTGTAACACCCGTTTGGAGTGCTCAACGAGTCCTTTGTACGTAATTTCCGTGTCTTGGAGCTCTTGCATTTTCTTGACAAGGGTGTCGTTGCAGAGAATTGCTCTTGAAAGTCCTAGAGCATCGGCCGTGGATGAACTCATGTTCTCAACCAGGCGATGCTTGACTTTCTTCAAAACTATATCCAAACTTTTGCCTTGTTGCGGGTCTGCGTGGAGCTTGTTGTAGTTGACTATCACTTCATCCTAGGCATAGGTTGCAGTTAGGTGTAAGCGAAAGTGAGTTAGCGTACCACCTTAGTTGACTGGATCATCTTCGCGACTTCCACCTTTGTTTTTCCTTTGACGGATTGTCCGTTAACGGCCACCAGCTCATCTCCAGATTGTAAAGTACCATCACGGGCGGCGGCTGTGTTATCGAAAATTTGCACGATATACAAACACGGGCACAGCGGCGCTCCACCACCGATACTAATTCCGATTAGATTATTGGCGTCTTTTTGTATCGTTACACTACCCGATGTCACCGTCATTCCTCTAAAATTACAGTGTTAACACTACGTCAAACTGGCTAAGATCTACGCTAGAAGAAATAAAACTACAGGTTCGCCAAGTTTAGATCTATTGTAGGTACTATTTTATGTATGTACATGGCGGAGTCTACGTAATGTACATTGTGTCAACTAGACTAGGCAGCTAATGTGGAGGGTTTCTCTAGCGTGCTCCTGTAAAAAAGCGTTTCAGCCAAAACTAATGTAAAAAAACGAAGCATGGAAGGGGCCTAACTCACAGTGTGTTTTGTGGGAGAAACTCGTCCCGAAAACCCCACTCTTGCCCATCTTCAAATTCGAATTCTTCATCTTCTTTGTCCTCTCCAATTGGTTTCCTACACCCGCCCTTTTAATCAAGGAAACTCTTAATAATGTGTTTAACTTACTCGTCTAACAAATCTGTATTCTCTTCGCTGCTCATTTTGTTGCACCTACTTACCTTCCCTCAACCTGGAAAAGTGACACTTTCATTTAATTTAGACCGATTTTGTATACGCATCGAAAAGGAACGCCTAAAGTTAAAAATTTTAAAAATGCAATTACTTTCTGTCTTCGAAGGGCGTAAGTAAGTAATGATAGTTGTACGTCGACGTTGATGACGGATGATACCCGTAGGGTAGCATGATTCACTGGAAGAAAATAAGGGAACGTTTCGTTTAACAAGCGGAGTGAAACTGTAACCAATTTTAACAAAACGCCAACATCCCGGATGTACTTTATCGCATTGGAATATTAATTTCCTGATAAGATACGTATACAATTAGTCTATTTCGTACCTACGTTATATACAGGCAACGTGAAATGTTATAAAGTATATACCTAATTTAATGGAAAAAGTACGTACAATTTGTCCTCTTCTAAAAAATAGTCGTCATCGTATTCGAGCATTATACAGAACTCATTTAGGTGGAAGAATGGTTATGTTTGTTATTTGAAGAAACGTCGTCGCGACGCCGAATCGATCAATAAAAATTGGTTTGTGATGTCAGAGACATCTGGTGGATAATAACGACACTATAGAAACTGCCATTTATTTTTAGCGTAGAGATGACGCTGACTTACATGTTTAGCGCATTTGAAAAAAACGCGGTTATGGCTGGCTGTTCGGCTGAGATCTCAACAATTACAATACCTAGAGACTTTATATTGGCATTAAAAATTTGAATGATATAGTGTAGACGTGCAGGCTCTAGTCTATTTTGAGTTAGATGACTCGTGAGATCGATAATTTTAAACTTTGCTAATAAAATACTGATCTATATTACCAAAAATGCTGTTTTCCTTTATTACATATAGTTTTGAATATGAAACGCTCTATAATTAAAGACATTAATATTATTTTCTGACGCATAGATTTTTGTAAAATTGTGCGTTCGTTTATACCTACCTACAAGACGCACTTTTTTTTTCTAAATTTTGGAACAATTCGGCTACAAATGAGAAAATTGCTCTAAGGGAGGCATTGCACTGAGGTAAACAAGTTGTAAATCAGCATATACATGATGAAAGCGCATTTTTGGTAATACAGATAAGTATTTTATTAGCAAAGTTTAAAATTATCAATCTCGCGAGTAATCTAACTCAAAATAGACTAGAGCCTGCACATCTACACTATAGCAGAAAGTTTTTATTGTTGAAGTCTCTTAGATGTTGTAATTTGTAATTGCTGAGCTCTCAGCCGTACAGCCACACAGCCGACCATAACGAATATAATAGTGCATTTTTTTTTTCAAAAATGCTCTAAAAATGATCCGTTACTTTTTTGACGGAAGTATACGTTTTGAAGTACCAGGAATCCGAGTCAAACAAAATCTCGATGATGTCGGTCTGTCGGTCCGTCTGTACTCTCATTTCCGGCTAATCAATTGAACCGATTGGAACTAAATTTGGTACACATATTCTTATCTTAGACATAAAAGGAACAACGGAAAAGTCTTTGGGCAGATCGCGCATGCGCAGGTATGCTGGTGGTATCTGAGCTAGCTACAGCAATTTTTTTGACACGTTTTTCAATTTGATTTAATGAAATTTCAGACTTCACAAATAAGTAATGTAGGTGTATCTATTCACAAAGGAGCCCGATTAGGCAGCACTTAGGCACCTCTAAGGCCCATTGTGTCTCCCTCCTTTCTTTCGCAACTAGGTTCAGAGGCCGTTCCTCTCAATAAAGAAGAGGACCAGCGTGCACCGTACAGTAATATTGACCTTATCACTACACTGTAAAGCCAGTCGCGGGTTGAAGCCCCACGTACAACCAAAGTTATTAAGATTGTAACTTTTGTAGTACCTACACCAAATATTTTGGTTTCTTTGATTGATTTTGTATGAATAGCCTGCAAACAGCCCTCCTCTGTTCTCCTGATATTTTGATCTACACAGAGGTGCCATTTTAAACAATTTGCCATGATGCATCATGTAAATAATAATGCATTTCTATTGTTTCAGACATTTCCTCTTGCAACACATGGTAGCGTCCTAGTATGAAGTGTAAATATCTGGGATACTTAATTTGTAGTATGTCTGTTCTCCTGCTACTTTGATCAACAAAGAGGTACTATTTAAACAATTTGTGATGATGCAGTATGTAACTAATGCACTTCTAAATCTTCAGAGCGTCCCTCCTGCCACATACGGAAGCATCGTAGTATGAAATGAGGACATTTGGGATACTTTGTAGATTGCCTGTTCTCCTGCTACTTTAATGTACACCAAGGTGAGATATAAGCAACAAAATTTTGATTCAGAGAAGACCATGGACATTTTAGGCCACGTCTAATTTTGTCTTTATAACGTTGAGCAAAATAAATTATTTTTTTCGTCGGTCGTTTAATCAAACCGTTTAGGGGCGATAATAATAATAATAATAGATTTTATTGAGTTTTAACTAATATATATAAAACAAATAAAAATAAACTCTTCACGAAACCCAATAGGCTGAAGTTCAGACTATCCAACCAAATAGTTGCATTATCTGTTCTTCCACTGCACCCCCAATTAACAAATTTTTGTAATTATCATGTCAAGACGTTAAATATAATTATAAAACAAAAAAAAAGAGAAAAAAATGTTTAATTCAAAAAGATTAAAAAGAAGTTTTTACAGAGATTAAAAAAACGTAAAAATTGTGTGAATTTTTTTAACCTTTTGAAACTTTTTTAATCTTTAAACATTGAAAATGTTTATGGTTTCGTATATGCAAGCAGTAAGGAGAACAGACAACGGTTAAGGAAAAGTTTCGGATACTGTCGATACGGTACTGCGACACGCGAGCGGGTGGAGAATAAGAATTATTTGTGTCTTACATATGGCGTTATACGGTTGTCATTTCGAATGTCTCCAATGGTTGCATGGATTGTGAAATCTGTGAATTTTGTAATCTTTTTGAATCTTTTTTGAATTTTTTTGAATCACTGGAATCTTTTTAGCGTATTTTCCTCAAAGTGAAAAATCGCTATTGGCTGCACTTTCTCGTCCGTCCGTCCGTCACACCACTGAACCGATTTGGGAGATATATTTCAAAATTTGTGTGTATTTGTACACGCTTCACTATTTTTCATTCACTTCGACGATAGGCGGCTCATTTGAAAGAGAATGTGGTAAGGAGTTCGTGCCTACGTGTATCTTTTCCCGGTTCTACCATTAATACTATTAGGAGGAAAATACGCTCTCGTCATTAATGTTTGCATAATGACTTTTTAACTTGTTCAATATCAGCCGTGGTGTGCTATAGTTTTGAAAAGAGAATTTAGTATGCCGTCTGTTTAGATTAAAATATATAAGGTGTTCCATTAAAAAATATGAGGTAAAGACCTAATGAATCTGTTACTTGACCCCGTATACTTATTTTGAAACGGTAGATTATGCATACCATACCTATTTAGAAGGTGTGCCAAGTAGTGATGTGTTCACTGTGGTAAAGATTGTTTTGGTTGAAAAAGTAAGTTCTGCGCTTCTACTATCTACATTTTCTATTATACCTACTTTACAATTTTAAATTTTCTTCGATGCGTACACGAAAAGGTACAATAGGCCTTCTGAATGGTACTATAGTAATGAATTTTCCGAAGATAAGCCCAGTTTAAGTAATATAAGGAGTCGTTCCATTCGAAGAAATCTGTCAATTTATTGCCGTTGGGTACATGGCACTGACTTTTGCTCAAATTGTTGAAGAATTATAGGTTTTAGTAACAGGCAATGGATTCAATGTTATAAAGTTACGACATATTTAGCTTATAGAAAGATCTATAATTGAATTTCCCTTTAAGAAAGAAATTAATCAAAAAACACATTTTTGGGCTTTCGTGGGCGAAACATTTTGGTACTTTACAGTACAACCACTATTGACTTATTGGACTTACTTGTTTGCTTTACTAGATTAGGTACCTCAAATTCTCCGATCTAGATTTATAGGGAATTGGGAAGGACCAAATCGTAATACTTAAGGGTCGTAGATCGGTATGATGCATTATTGCAACAAGAGGGATCATATCCCAATATGATCAAAATCAAAATATTGACGGGCGATGGTTTCTTCCAACCAGACAGTGGAACATTTTTCGTTCAGTTTTTAGAGAGAATGGCGCCTCATACGATGGGAATGGTATTTTATACGCGGCAAGCTTGTTAAGTTGAAGGACGCTGGTTACTCTCTGCGTTACTCATTTACAAAGTTGGTTATTAAGATGGACGGACGATAACGGTTTACAAGTTTAGAGTACTGACGGAGGCTTCAGTGAATAAATACAGTTTAAGGAAAGTTGCGATAGTGTAAATAACATGTTTGTCAATAGGATTTTGTGTGTTCTCTCGTTCATATATGCGGTTAAAGGGGATTACGCGGTACCGTCATTGACATTGGAGGCCTTAAAAAAAGGAGGATTTCGTGTTTATATTCCCGGTAAGTAATTATGAACCTTTAATGAAAGTACTCAAGTGTGCAAATTCGTATTGGATTCGAGTTTGGTATATTCGTATTGGATTCGAGTTTGGTATAGTCGACTATTGCGCGATTAAACGTTGGATTTCCCATGATTTCAAAATAAATTAACATGTAGGTAATCGATAAAGAGAACATTAACTTAGGCTCTGTATTATTCAAAACAAAGGTCATGCCAACGTTTAATAAATTGCCCCAAATTACTTTCCAAGTAATTTGATGGCGTCTATTCGCCATTAACTGGCAAATCTGAATTTATTAACCTTCAAACTGGGTATCTTCTTAGAGTCGTAGACAAAAACCTGTTGGGTAATTTACTAATTGCATACAGCTTGAAAATGAAAATATTGCCGCGGCCTTGGGTTAGTAACAAGAACTTAGTAAAGATGACGCACTTTGTATGAATATTGACAAGTGTTCTTATCTACCCTTTCGACGCAGAATCATTTTGAGATAATATCTGACCCGTTACGTTGACAAGTATGTCGAAGAAATGGCGAGAACGGTCATAAAAATTCCAAAGATAAAATTTGGTAATACACGTTTTTCATGTTGCAGCACTGGGATTTCCTTTACTCCAAAATTCCCAACGAATTTCCACTTCTTAAAAATCGTCATCTCCATTACTGTGACGACCTGAGGCGGGCATTTGGTGTAGATTTTACGAGCAATTGGTATCCGTGAACTACAAACACAATCTGGCAAATTGGCTGAGAAAAAGGTACCCACTAAACTAACTACTGCTATAGTATTTAAGAAGCAGTATCATCGATTGTACCTATCAGTAATAGAATATCAGGGGTGGTAGTGATAATTAGCGATCTTCTTAGCATTATGCGCAATCCCAACATTATACAGGGCCTTTCGCGACAGCCTCAGTTAGACGTTCTTCCGACACGGTTCAAGATAATTTCACTAACTTTGTTATTTCAAATGGAATTACCTTTTTTTTCCACATGTTGTCAAAGTGAGCTGGGGAAAGCTGGAATTTGTTCTAAAACCTTAAGATAGTCTTGAAAACGACCAATCTGAGTTTGTACCCCTCCAGAGGGGTTGAGCATTTCGGTCAGTTTTTCGCTTATACCTGACCCAAAGACAAATTAAAGAACAATTTACAAGGTAGTAATCGACTACTGAAGGACTACAATTTTTCCCATATTGATTATGTACCATTTGACAACTTTTTGTCGTCTGTAGCATCTGAAGTATGGCTCCTATGAAAACAGTCTTTTAATAAGGTGACAGGAGTGTTATTTTGTGACATTTAATCAGTCCCTGTACCATAAAGCTGGGTACATTGTGGCCTCCTTTGATTCTATTTCACTCGTTTCTTCAGTAATCGCTCGGCTAGGTATTTTCCACCTATTGATGTCGTTTATGGGCGCCATAGGATGTATCATGGATGGCAGCGGGCTTCGCGATGTTGTGAGCATCAACAGAGAAGATGCTCGCAGGTCAGGCATGCAAGGGACGCATGTTGATTCATCTGGCACTGGCTCACATTGTGTTGTCAAAGACGGATATCTCTGATGATGAAAACGACTCTATTTTGGAGGTATACTAAACAATGTTGAGACGCCAAATTTCCTTGAAGAATTGTAGCACCCATCAGCTCTACTTTGCACATTGTCACCACGAACCTGGCTGGCTGAACTCAAACAGCATGGTGCAACAACTAAACTGTGGGGTCAGTACCTCAAGGTGGTAACCATTGCAAAACCATTCATCCAGGTTGAAAAAAGCGAAACCTCATACCTTCACATGGAAACTGTCCACTTCCAGTGGCCATTTATACGCTAAATCATACCAGCTCTATCTAAAGGACATGATGAACCTAATGTAAAGTCATTGCAGTCAGATGCTGAGTTTGACCGTTTCGGGAAACAAGGCTTTTTATTGTATTTATTTATTTTTACCTTTATTTTTGAGTGGGCCAAGGCTGCTCTACCGACACAACCCACTATACATTTACAAATATCCATGCCCGAACCCTGATTCGAACCAGGGACCCTTAGTACCACAGTCCAGGTTCAACTGAACTGCGCCACACGAGTCGGCAATTACAGTCCGGAGAACGGAAAGGACAATCCAGATATGGCGGTATTGCTTGATTGATTTCAGTCACATGACCCCTACCCAATTGTAGATTTTGTGATGAGCACCAGCACTGGGGTAACCAGTGATGAGACCATTGATTGGAGCCAAGCACTTGAGAAAGGGAATAACGCCATGCAGATATACAACCCTGTGCTGTATTAGAAACGTCAAACTTAATGTGCAGGTTATCTGCTAAAAAGCGTTATTTCGTATGGGAAAAATCACGTTTTCTAGAGACCTGTACGTTAATTACAACGTTAGTGATCAAGGTTAATAGAGAGAATAGGTTGCCTCGTAACTTTCAGCCAATAAACGTTCACTATTAAAATACGCGAATGACGTCACCCGGAATCCCACTTTGTCCACATCATAAAATTAATTATTAACGCAACAACAACAGAACAAGTTCAAAAAATGCAAAATGGATCAAAATGGTACTTTACACGGATGTTCTGAAAAGTCCTTGCATTGCATTGTAAGAAACATGCTAGCGAAATATTATAAACACTTTATTAAAATATATGAATAGTTTATTTATTTATTTATTGTCCCTCTCTTATTATGGGGCCTCAACAGGCTTTCGCCCAGTTACAGAGAACAATCCTCTGGCCATTATAACCTGCATATACGATTGCTTACCTAAAATCTCGTCTTCCTTTTGGTCGCATTCGTATAGTGAAGAAATTTTTATTTCATCGAATGATAAAACAGTAGTACGGTTAATATTGGATTTTGTTTGCCCTGCAGTGCCCATAATAGATAGTACATCTTCTAAAATTCCACTCCTTAAGTTAAGACTCGCAGCCCAGCGTTGTAATGCAGATAAACCGGGAAGTGGATAATGTAGCTTTTCCCTTAAATAAATGTAGCACCGTTTACTAAAATATCGTAGAGTAAAAGCCTTAGACACTTCTTCTGGAGCCCATCTTGCTTTCTTTTTTTTCTTTAAAATAATATCTACTTGATTTGATGTTAAACAATTTTTGAAAGCAAACTTGGCTTGTACTTCGAAGTCAGTAGATTCGCCTTTTAACTGATGCTTTTCAAGATGACGGAGGGTTTTCTGTAATGATTCGTTATCGGTTTGGAGTATTTTAATTTCATTTTTCAATGCTTGATGCTTTTTGCAAATGGTCGAACTGTATTTTTAACACATTATAATCGTTTTCCTTGCTTGGCGAAGATGTATCAGATATATTGATGCAAGAAGTTTCAATTTCTTCTGTTTCTGCAGACAACGAAATTACACATGCTGACTTATTTGAAGTGCGCACCAGTTCTTCTACTAACATTTTTCTTTCTATAGCTGTTCTCTGGGACTCTATTTCTTCAGCTTCAGCGTCGTGTAAAGATTTTATATACAAAGATGGAATAGCTGTTAATAAAAGAAAACAATATAAGCCTTATCCATCTTAAAAACACCTACGTAGGTATTCTATACGAACCATTTTTTTTTTAATTTTTTTGCGACAATTCCTATTAGCCTAGCTTGCATTTCATCTGCATAATCTGCTGCCCGGAAATGCAGACTGCATACCCTATTGCACAAGGGGTTCAGTTTCCCCTTTCGATTGCACTTTATAGTCCATTCTTTTTGCAATGCAGTATCTTTTGGAAATTTGAAAAACTGAATTTTTAAGTCATTTGCTTTTGATTTGTTAGAGCTGCTATTGCATATAGCAACGCTACAAATATTTCCACCCGGCATCAAATTTCTTTAATCAATACTGAAGTATCTAACAGTAATTCAATCGAATTATAATACGCATATACGTAATTCAGGGATATCTGACAATTACTTACACATTTCAAATAACTGTCAAGGAGAACGAAAACTCAAACACCAATCAAATGGGACTTCCGGATTCTCGATGACGCGTTTCCTTAAAGTTACGAGGCAACCTATTCTCTCTATTAACCTTGGTTAGTGATACATCACAGGGCCGATTATTGGGAAAAACTTTCGCGATGAGTAATTCCTCTCAAAGCCCTAAAATCCAAGTTACTATCCATAACGAAACATCTCTGACAACTCAAACTCCATATCTTTCGAAAAATCGCATTCCTGAAACAGTCAAATAAACAGCTCAATTTATATTTTCAATATGAGTTGGTACCATACCCTGTTTCCAGTTTTAATGATACAGGAATGCAAACGAAGTAGTCGGCCTTCTGTGACATTTTTCCCGTGAACGAAGCTGTTGACCTCTCTCAGGGTGCCTTTGTGATTGAAGCGTCTTCTTACACAACGTACCACATGCCAGTCAAAGGAAAAATTCTCAACCATCCTTATAAAAAGGTACGTGGTATTACATGAACGATGACTACACCCTCAAAGAACATCTGTATTTTTTTATGGGTACATTAAAGGGGGCTTTAGAGAAAAATACCAAGTCAGCAGAGCGCCTTCGTCGCCAACACCAGTTTTCTGCAACCACTGTCCTATTAACGGAATCCATGACGTCCTCAATGCCAAAAAAGATAGATAGAAGATAGATAGATCATCCTTTTTACTGCACTGGCACCCTCCTCATGCAACATCTACCTACTAAAACCAGAGACAGTCCTCTCATCTAACACAAAAGACTTTTGATAGGATCAGTACTTTGGATGCTACAGACGAGAGAAAGTCGTCAAATGGTACATTTTAGACAATATGGGAAAAATTGTCGTCCTTCAGTCGTCGATTAGTACCTAAATTGGTCCAGTCAATCGACGCCGAATTTAATGCTCTTTAATCTCTTGGTACGGTTTGTGATAGGATGAATTGTTTAGTCCCAAAATTTCGAAGTTTTTGGCGAACCCCTGGAGGAGTACAAACTCAGATTACTTGTTGTCAAGCCTATCTTAAGGTTTTAGAACGA